AATATAATCTACGAACTGCGAAGTACTAGTCAGTACGTGTATATCAATATTTCTAAGGTAGATTCTATGGTATCCTTAAGGTACCATACTTTTGTCCACGTAGACTAATGAGATCGTTGCAGTTGACTTATTTAAATCGAAATTTAAAATAATATAACGATATGGACTAATCAAGTTAATAGAAGATACGATAGTCCGTTTTTTAAATGAGTACCGAAGTTCTCACCTATTTCTAATACGCATGGGGCACGGCGGTCTGAGGATGGACTGCCATTAGTGCTATACTGCTATAGACTTATCGGGTTAATAGCTCTCTTTAACTAATTAGTTGTCAACCACTACGGCAATGCCGCATTATTATTCTATTTGGGGTTTGACACTTTTATTTTACTTTTTGTTTTTAGAGTCCGTACCAATAAATTGACTATATTAATTGATTTATTCTGCTCCAATTTAAAAAGTGAAAATATTGTTTGATAAATTAGAGATGTTCAATTCTAGCCTTTTTTAATAGAATGGTTGAAATGAATTGAAAAAGAGGATGAAACCCTATCCCTAGGCCCCTTGCACGAGATGGACAATTAATCGGGAGAATGTAAATTGTAGGGGTGAGTTCGGCTGAAACGGTTCGGTTTTCACCTAAAACCAAATGTCAAATCAAAGTAAAAAAGTTCAATTCGGTTTCAGTTTTCCTGATTTTTTGTTGATTAAAAAAAGTAATTGGGAAAAAATAAATCACATCAAACTATAATTAATAGTAATACAATACAAAAACATAATTAAAAAAGAGAGAAGAAACATATTCACTTCCAAACAATGAATTAGTGAGTGTATATTAATTTAGGAAATAATTACATGAATATGACTAAAATAAAGATGGTTTACAAAAATATGACTCGTTACTAGAGTAGTAATGAAATCGTAATAATTCATGTTCAAGTTTTGAACTTAAGTTACCACAACACTACGTTGTAGTAATGAATAGTCATATTTATGTAAAAAAGTTTTATTTTAGTAATATTCTTGTAAAAAACTCTTAATTTAAACATTTTCTAAATTAATTAAACCCAGAAGTTTATTTGCGAATTATATATAGTTTATCGCGGGGTTAAAATTTTATTTTTAAACATTTTGTCCACTAATTCATTTTCCTTTGTACATTTTTTAGACAAAGATATTTATGCTCTAAAGTTTTCCATTTTCTGCTTTGTTGTTTAATGTATACTTTATATCAATACATATTTGTTCAATATAAAAATCATGTGGTAACAAACACACATAACAAATAATATATCAACAAAATATCATTGTCATGCAACAATAAATAAAATGCAAATCTCGATTTAAAATATCAACATATTAGTATTATAACAATAGACTTAATTGTATGTACAAGTATTTCTCTTAATTAAACATAAGTATCAAATGTCAATATCTTGCATATCATAATAAATCTAGTATCAAACATTAATTTTCTAGACAAAATACTCCCTCCGTCCCACTAACAATGGGACAAGAGGGAGTGACACACAAACTAATAAAAAGTGAGTTATGTGGTTGATATTGAATTGATAAAGTAAGAATAATTTGGAGCCACACAAATTTTGCCTAATTTGGTATGGGACAATCTTATGGGGATGGACCGAAAAGGTAAAATGGGACAATCTTAGCGGGACAGCGGTAGTATTATACTTATGCTTAATAAATAAAATAGCATGTTTTTAAAAAGTTCGGTTTGTTCGGTTTTGAGATGTGAAAACCAAAAGCGAAACCAAACAACGGTTCTATTTTTCGAGTTCAATTTTGGTTTCCCCGCGGTTCGTTTTTTTTTATTGGTTTTCGGTTTTGGTTTCACTGACCCACCCCTAGTAAATTGGACTTTAATCACAAGCTGACAGATAACAAATGAGGCTCTAACCCAAGTACTTGCAGAAGCCCTATGCATTGTTACATAGTAGCCTCTCATCGCAGTTGCCACTATTCGAACCCGAGACACCCCTTGTGACACCCCCCCATCTATCAGTTAAGATACGTCCATCGACAACGGCTTGAATTGGAAATGTTGCAAATAGCAAGTATTTTGGGTTAATGTTTCAAAATATGACATTTTTGACTAATTGATATGACCAAACAACTAAATCATCAATCATATTATTGCAACCTGACAACTAATTTTGCTAGTCAAACCCACTGAATAATATTGTTATTGACAAGTCGCTAACATGATCTCTATTCACTATATGCCAACACATCCTTTATGTGTCTTGTTTTTGTTTGACGTAGCTATTAATAAAGTGAATGAAAAAGTAAAAGTTGTTAACAAAAACCGCTAACATAATCCGCTAGTTATATATATAAAGTCATGGATGAACCCTAGGGCGTGCAACATTCAGTCTGCCTCTTCTCGTCCGACTCAACAACGACGGAGAGGACAAGATCATAGGTTGGATTACAGAATTGACTTTACACTCCTTATCCTGTTTGATCTACCTATTCTGCTCTAACTCAACAACGACACAGAGGACAAGATTGTAAGTTGGTTTACTGCTTCTTCATGGGTTCCATACGAAGGTGTGTTGATTCCAAAGTTGTCATTGTTAGGCTTTTTCTCTGTTTGATTTAGTCTGGCTTAGTTTCGCTGCTCTGGCCAATGTTTCCTCATTTTATTGTAAATGTTCTGTGTTGCTAGATAATGCTTTTCTCTTTACATGCTGTCAGACTTTTGTGAGAGTTGTTATTTTTCATCGTTATCTAATGGAGAATATATCTAATTAATGCTTATGGGAGGATGCAGACTAAGGAGGGAAATAGTGAATTGATGTTGGAATTTGGCGCTCTGGATATTGGCGGTGGGGAATGGGAAAATTCAAGTTTTTCTGCTGTACCTAGAGTTGTCACGGATAAATCTATCCAGCTTATCTCTTTTCGTGAGACGATATCAATGATACAGCGTCCAAGAAGATGAGTAAGCGTTGAACATATTGGGGATATGTGCCTTTTGATTCAATTTTATCATGAGAGTGACATCTCTTGGATGGTGCAAAGTGGTATGTGGTCTTTCGATCAGAATTAGTAGTTACTAAGAGGGTTGAAGCGGGTCAAGTGGCTAATAGACCTTTAGAGGTGGAGTTGGACATGTTGAATTTTGGGTTCAGATCCATAAACTACCTTTAAGCTTCATGGCTGAAAAAAATGGCAACAAACATTGGTCGTTAGTCGTTACCTAGGACAACTGAGTCAGATTGATGAGAGGACGCTAAAGGATGCTAACAACGATTATGTTCACATTCGCGTTTCCATAAACATCAAGAGTGCGTTGAAAGAAAGAACACGGATTAGAGAAGAGGGTGACAGCTTATCCTGGAAGGACTTTAAGCATGAGAGACTTCTTAATCTTTGCTTCATCTGTGGGGTATTAGGACATACTAATTGGTATTTTTAGACCAACACTCGTTCGGGACTGTTGATCGAGAAGAAGTCTTATGGCCCTTGGACGCGAGCAAATATTTGGCATGGAGGGATTCACCCGAGCAACAAATGACTCGTCCCGCGTGGAGTAGTTACTAGTGATATATTTTTTATCCGGAATAGCAGGCTCTTATCCCATCATCCTCCACCGACCTAATAGGGCATAAATGTCTTGAACACGGTAGCCATTTGGGGTAATGAGATTGACATTGTTGTTCATGTTGCCATTGACTCTCTTCTCGGGCAGCCGTTTGTTGGGCAAAACGGGCCTCAATTCACCCATATATTCGATCATCTATATTTTTTTAACCTGAGCTAAAGGCTCCGCTAAAACAATCAACACCCTCGGGTAACGTTTGGATTTGTGACGCAACACCATAGCACCCCACCCCTTATGTTGGGGGACAATCTTATAAAATAGCTTGGAATAATGTGTCATCCTCATCATATGACCGACCCTCGAACTTTGTTTGACCTTTCAATTCATAGTATGTCCCTTGTTTCACAACAATTGAGATCTTGCACCACTAGTTTGATTCGAGACTTACCAAACCGGGTAGCCTCCTTGTCATTTTTTGGAATTTTTTTCCAATTTCGAAGTCATCTCTTCTTCCGCTGAATCTGGATCAACTCCATTCGACACAGCATCATCATCTTCTTCAAAATCTAGTCGTGCTCTAGCCATCTCTAAACCTTCCATCATTATATAGTTATCGGATAAAATCTTTGTTGACGAGATGTGGTAAATTTGCTACAATCGTCCAAACTCTATGTCAAGGAGAAAGTAATTTGCGACACATACCAGCTTTATCTAGAGATAGTTAAATCCATAACATACTATTAACAATAGATATACGTTTTTTTTAAAATGAGTTTTATTATTAATAATGGGAATAACAAAAGGTAGAAGAAAGAAAAAAAACTAAAGAAAACAACAAAAGAAGAACACTAGATATCTAATACCCTTCACGCCCCTTATAATTATAATTTTGTCATTTCTTTTTTAGTTATCCCATTTTTTTGACTTTTTCTTTTCATTGTTGTTACTGTGATTTCTTCTCCTCTGCATAAACTTTAATCACATAATATTTACTTTATTATTTCACGTACTGGTCAAACTTGACAAAATTTTGAGGGACATGACATCATTATTTAAAAAGCCCATATAAAAACGTTGCTCAAAAGTTGTTTTCGACTCATTCTCATACTAAATTACATTTACTATATATTAGAAATACTTGTTTTCCCTTGCCAAACAGGCAAACCCATGAGATGGAGTATATTGAATCTACATGATAGGGATTAGGGAGTATTGCAGTTTTTACACCATAATAATGAGGTGTTAATTTATCCAATCACGAAGTCCGACAGCCCCAAAGACCTAACCGTCCCCCATAACAAGGAAAGGTCAAACAGTGAAAAAGAAAAATCTCATCATACAGCCGTCAATCCCAAGAATTGCCGTTTCTTTCCAAACGCACCTCTAATTTCTACCTTATTACCAACATCTCCCTCCTCTCCACGGACCACTCCAGCAACCAGCACTTCTTCGTACGAGTTTATTATATAAATCAATCTCCTGCGTAATAAATTGGGTTGGGTAACCCGTTGCTTTTACATCTTCACAACTCATATCAAACCGCGGTTTCGAGAAAATAGGGAAATTTCCCAACGGAGCCTCTTAAAACAAGCCGTGTTTTTTTGTGTATCCGAAGAAGAAGAGGAAGAAAAGATCCGTCTTTGCCTCTGTTCTTGAGAGAAATGCTGTTCAAGATCTGAAATTTAGCAGCGCTGGGCTTTTCTGTTTGCGGAAGAAAGAATGGGGAGCAAATGGAGGAAGGCGAAGATGGCTCTGGGATTCAATATGTGTCTCTACGTCCCCAAAACGAAAGATGAAGAGGAAGAAGCGCCGCCGGGAACGGTTCCGTCGGCTGCCGGCAGAGCTTCTGATGCTATTTCCCTCTCACCGGACCCGACCCAGAGCTTTGATTCGCGGCTCGTCATGCCGACTACCCCCACCCCCTCCTCCTCCGGCCTCCGGCTGTCCAAACACAGCTCTAGATCTTCTAAGGTCAGTAAAAAACGGGTTTTTCAATTACTAATCAGTAATTCCACTTTTCTTTAACATGCATTGGATTTGATATTAATGCCATAATGATTACGGAGTATTATTTTCTGTCTCAGTATACTGATTTATTAGCAACATGAAATATGTTTTCCTATGTAAAATTGCGTTTTTTCCTTGAATTTAGCGCTATGTAAGGATAATTGTTTTCAAGATGTATCTGCATTGGTAGATTCTGTAGAGTGCGATGAATCAATTTAACCAACCCGTGTTTTGCTTTACCCGTGTATATGCATATACTGTACCCTTTAAATTGTCAATTCTCTTTAGAGAAAGATAATTGCGGTCAATTGTACTACTACCACCTCTGCCATTTTTTTTTTAATTTCCTGCTACTACATATCAGTCCTTTTTACCTCTATGGATCTCTCCATACATGTCTGTCAAGTGGGGTAGAGTTTCCCCCAACCCACTTGTGAGGCTGATGTGGGGGTGGGTGGGTGGTGGTAGGTTTAGTATATGGAGGTGATAACCATAGATGTACTTATATATATTCTTTATAAATAATGGACCTTGCACTATTGTGTTGTGCGACGTGCGGGCTGATAGACCGGCCTCAATGGCCGGTCTTAAGCGCACATTTGTCGCCATACCGGTAGTCAACGTGGGTGTTTAGGGCTTGGGCCCACTATTCTTTGAATAAAATCTTTTGTTTTTATGTGTCAAAATTTTAATGTAATAATCTATATGAATAATTTTTTTATCTTCCACCCAATCTGTTTTTCTATACTGATTTAAGTCACTGTTACTGGTAGGGTGGCCCATAGTTTTTAGTGGGTTAATGGGACAGATATACTATTGTATGTGATATATAGCTCTCAGTGGTGTGGTGATTAAAGTAGGGAGACCCTTTTAAAAGACCTTAGTGGTCCATTGGCCTTATTGTAAAAAGGAAATAACATTATTATCTTTCTCTCTCCCTCTTTTTCCCTCCTTGAGTTACTTGGAGGGGAAAGTGCTTTGCATGGTCAGCAAACACGACAATGCCCATTTGGCCATTTCTGATCTAACTCTCCTTTTCATGATAATAGTCCAAGAAAAAAGCATGTGGATGGTTGATTGAGAGGTTTCCTTGGTTGAATTCCATTCACCAAAGCTAATATGGGGAGATTGAAAAATAAAAGTGATGAAATTCTTATCATCATTCCAATACAATGATTTCCACTTTGGGATACACGTGCTTCTTTTCTTCCTATGTCTGAGCTCTCTTGAGAGGCTCATAATTTTTGCTGTGAAATGCGCTTAAGTGCTTAACATTTAGGTGGAAGACTAGGCCTGACATTAAGTTAGAGATTAACTATTCGGGATTAGCGTGATCTAAACAGAGTTAAAGAGGGCCTAAAGGGCTCAAGTAAAAAAACTATGGCATCCACGGAAATCCTAGCAGGCTTAGCTCAGAGTTTCTTAAAAATTTAACAGTCCCCCCCCCCACCCCCGGAATATCTACTTTATGGTATATTTGGGTCTGAGAATTTATAGGAAATGGTAAAAAAAACTATGGTGTCCAAGGAAATCCTAGCAGGTATAGGAAATGGTAAATGCTAATGAAAGATACACTTTTTGTGTTTGCTTTTACCTTGGAAAATGCAAAGGAATATGAAACATGATGAATGTTTAGCATATATCTAGATGTTTGATCTATATATTATATACATTAATTAATAAATGAGTATGGAGACTGACTAAAAAAAGATTTTGAATTTTAGCATATCTAATATTTCTCTCACTTTTTTTTGTACAGAGTACCTTTCTTGAGGTTTCCATTCATATTTTCTTTCCATAATATTTTCGGGATTTTCCAGGTTCCAAATGGACAACTTAATGTTTGTTGATGTGGATTAGTGGAAGAATCTGGGGTGCAGCATTGCCATCATTTAGTTGGCTCTTTATATTTGACGATCTTTTTTGCTTGCAGTTTCAGGAATTTCATACACTTTCTTCTGTAACTCTTGTAAAGTTACTGTTAACCCTGTAAATCATTTTTTGTCTCTTTGTATTTGATGATCTTGTTTGTTGCAGTTTCAGGAATTTCATAAACTTCTGTATTTTTTTTTCCCATTGTTAACGCTATAAATTACTTTTATCATCAGAAGATGTGCACGATATGCTTGACAAGTATGAAACCGGGACAAGGCCACGCCATTTTCACTGCAGAATGCTCACACTCCTTCCATTTCCACTGCATAACCTCCAATGTGAAGCATGGAAACCAGATCTGTCCAGTTTGCAGAGCAAAATGGAAGGAGATCCCCTTCCAGACCTCTCCACCCCATAATTCCCCCCTGGAAAGAGCCAGGACCAATCCTCCTCGTCCATACTGGCCTCAGTATAATGCTTTGCTCACATCTCTGAGACGCTCTTCTTCGCAACTTGGTTCGTCAAATGCACATAACTCGGCAGAACCAGCAGCTGTCTTTGATGATGATGAACTTGTTGACCCTGAACCGTTATTTTGTGCTGATAGGGCTAATGCTTCTCATTCTGTGGGTGTGGTAGAAGTCAAGACATATCCAGAGATATCTGCCATTTCAAAATCGTCAGCTTACAAAGATTTTGCCGTTCTGATTCATCTCAAAGCCCCACGGTCAGACGGGTACCTGAATTCCAGGGGCGAGTATATGGGGACTCAAAATTCCCGGGCCCCGGTTGATCTTGTTACTGTTCTAGACGTTAGCGGCAGCATGGCAGGTACGAAGCTGGCTTTACTAAAACGGGCAATGGGTTTTGTCATCCAACATCTCGGCCCGTCCGATAGGCTCTCAGTAATTGCTTTCTCCTCATCCGCCCGGCGCCTCTTTCCTCTTCTTAAGATGACTGATTCGGGCAGGCAAGAAGCGTTACAAGCGGTCAACTCGCTAAGTTGCAATGGCGGAACCAACATTGCAGATGCCTTGGTAAAGGCTGCACAGGTCATGACTAACCGAAGGTCAAAGAACCCAGTCAACAGTATAATACTGCTCTCTGACGGGCAGGACACGTACACTCTCAACAATCCGTACGGAACAAATACGGAAACGGGTTACAGGTCCTTACTCCCTGTCTTGATGCGTCGTGGATCAGGTCTTCATATTCCGGTCCACACGTTCGGGTTCGGGTCTGACCATGATGCCGTGGCCATGCACTCTATCTCAGAATCTTCCGGAGGGACGTTTTCTTTCATAGAGGCGGAAGGAGTGATCCAAGATGCTTTCGCTCAATGCATTGGCGGGCTTCTTAGCGTTGTGGTTCAGGATCTACGGATCGAAGTAGAATGTGTGGACCCCACATTGCAACTCGGATCAATAAAATCTGGAAGCTACAACAACTCTTTGAAACTGGGCAAAAGAGGTGGCGTTATAGAAGTTGGAGATTTGTATGCCGAAGAGGAAAGAGATTTTGTTGTTATGATGGATATACCCACTGTTCATGTATCTACAAACGACCATATGAACCTCATGAGTGTTAAGTGCGTGTACAAGGACCCAATTTTAAAAAACATGGTGAAGATGGATGATGTTGCTGATGTCACCATCAGGCGTCCTATCTCGGTTGATCGGGAAGAAGTTTCCATGGAGGTCGATAAGCAGCGGAATAGGCTTCGGGCAGCGGAAGCTATGGAGGAAGCCAAAGCTGCGGCGGATCGTGGCGAGTTGACAGCCGCGGTGGCTATAGTAGAGCATGCCCGGAAACAGCTTTCGGAAACTGTGTCTGCCAGAGCAGGAGAAGGACTGTGTGTCGGTTTGGATGCTGAATTGAGGGAAATGCAAGAGAGGATGGCCAATCGCTCAACTTACGAAGCCTCAGGCCGGGCTTATGTGTTGTCGGGATTGAGTTCACACTCGTGGCAGAGGGCAACGGCCAGGGGGGACTCCACAGAGAGCACAAGTCTTGTGCTTGCTTACAAGACGCCTTATATGGTGCAAATGATTAACCGGTCCCAGAATACAGCTTCGGGTAGTTCCCGACCGCCACTACGGCAAGCACGGTCCTTTCCTTCGCCTCCTCGACCACGTTGATGCACCTGTTGGGCACATAGTCTTGCAACACATGATTCTCATTTGTTTTCTTTTCTTAAAAACTCCTCTTTCGCTATTTTTGCTTTCTTTTAATATCTACATAAGCGGAATTTTGGATGCAGCTGGTCAGTAGGAAATGGTTCTTTGATTTGGGGGGTATATTTTCATGTTTTTCTTTGGGGAAGGTAATTGGGAGGAGCCAGGGATTTGAAAGCATTGTACATACAGAGATAAAATTCATGCTTTTTTGTTGTCCCTTTTTTGTTTATTGGATGATGATGATGATGATGGAGATCTAATTTTGGACTAATAATAGTACTTAGGGCAAAGGCGGTGTGTGGAGTATTTAATTTGTCGATGTATGAAAGTATATCTGTTCTTTTCACCATTGGTTAACATGTCATATGCTAGTGTCTATTTTGTTATATTATTTCTAGCCAAGTGGATTTCCATCATTTGCAATGGAGTCAAAGATTCATTATTTTTTGATTTGAGAATATGATAGAATAAAGCAAAATGGTTCATTAAACTATCTGCGCTTCTTTGTTATGAAGCAGCAGTCAGTCCGTACAATTTTGGACGCAATTTTCATTATAGGTCATTCGGAAACTGTCTCTTTGTGCTTTAGTACAAGGGTAAGACTGGATACATCCGACCCCCCTTGTGGCACTAGGGTAAATGAAATGAAAATGAAAATGATGATTTCTAGCCAAGTGGAACAACTTCCAAATAGACTATTTGAGCAAAAAGTAAACAAGGAATTGATGATGTATTAGATTATGTTATTTATTGGAAGGCAGGATGTACATTTATTTGTTACTTCTTAAAACTACTTCTCCTCCATGAAGGGGAGGACAAACAAATATTAGAGAGTTTGAGTAGATATGCAAATTTACTTCAAAGTGTTCTATATTACTTATACTTTTAAATAACTAATTCTACTTATACTTTTTAAAAAGAACTTTAATCAATTCCAAAAGCATTAACATTTTTAAAGTATATGTGGAGGTAATTATTATTTTTGAATAACAAGTACTCGTATAGTCGTACAAAGTTAAGATAAAGAAACACCTCAGTTCGTTTAAAATACACCAATATTTAATTTGTCATTGCGATGCTTGTGGCATGATTATCAATATTTTCAAATTTCGACTTCTTAGCTCATGACAAAAATAAAATTTAGTTGAACATTAAGGAAACAAGTTTTTTGGGAAAATGTAACTAAAAATGATTGACCTTAGAATATAGACAAATTAGGAATAGCCAGCCAACTAATTGGCAAGATGGTGAATTTGAAAAGTAGCAAGAAAAGTAAAACTTTCGATTATGTTTTGATTAATATGATTCCCGGTCCTAGAATTTATGATACATTCAGATTTGATATAAAGGAGATAATTATTCTTTTATCTTTGTGACCAGATAAAAAAGTTATATGGATGCATTAAAAATAAAAGGTGATGGCGCAAAAAGCAACTAGATACGTAAAAAGCTAATGTAATGCAAATTATGATTATTTTTACTATTTTTAGAACAAAACAAAAAGTGAATGTGTAGCATATATGAATAAATATATGAAGCACGCTAACGTACTCATTGTGGAGCACGTATTTAGAAAATCATACTCATTCATCAGCCAATGTGTTACATAATGAGCACACTAAATAGTGTAGTAATACATCTATGTCCGCTGGAATTTGTATTTGGTTCACATCATTAGTTGAACATTTTTTTCCTTTCTGTGAGTTGATATATGTTTTATAAGTTTAAAGGGGTTTTACATTAAATATATATTATTTAATCTCACCACCAAGTATAGAGATATAATTCATATAAAGAGAAATGCATCAATCTTAAATTACTCATCCAATCAAATTAACTCTAAGATCAGATAATCAAAATTAATATGATACTTGAGCCAATTAAACTCTAACGAGCAATTCGATAATTGGAAACATCCACAAGGGTTTGATGATCAGTGCTGTGATGAGCCACCGAGGAGCATTTAATTAAGGGCATCCTACACTAGTCAAATACAAGATATAAATAATGTACATATAGAATCTCAGTTACACTCTTTCTGATAAGGCAACGTACCTTTTAAATAAAATTCATATTCAATAGTACTCCGTAATTTAAAAAAGCAATTGATCGAAACCAAGATTATAGAGGAAATGTTGCATAATAGACTAGTACTTATTGATTAGTTCTAAATCTATCTATTAGTTGATTTAAGGTTAGTCAAAATCCAAGTCTTAAATCAAAATAGGAATAAAATTAGCCTTTAAGGATCAAGAGCTGAGAGAAATAAAAAGGGGAAAAAAAATCTAGATTGGAATCAAACTAAGCCCAACCTTAAGACTGATGACCCTTTGGGTGCTAACGAACTGAACCGAGTTTGAACAAAGTAAAAATTGTGTTTGGGTTCGAGTATAGTTGAGTTTGGATAACCTCAATAAATATACTTAAACATAGTAGATACCTTATGCTCATTAAGTGGCTTGCTAGGCGACCAAGGGTATGTTTGGAAGTTGAATTTTGGAGGGAAGTAAAAGGCCGATGAGAGTTCATGATCCTTCTTTTCATGTTTGTGAGTTTAAAAAGGAGTCAATTCCCTAAATAGGACTAAAAAGTGACAAAATTGCACAAATAGGACTACATTTTTTAAATTACCTTAATAGAACTATTTATGTGTGTTTGGACAAATATACCCTTGTAACTTGTGAGATGTTTTAATTAATAATAAAATCATAAAAAAATTAATAAAAATCGAAAAAAATAATAAAAATCGTAAAACAATAATTGAAAATTAATAAAAATATTTAAAAAAAAAAATAAAAAAAATATTTTTTTTAAAAAAAATAAAAAATAAATTAAAAAAATCATAAAATTAAAAAAAAAAACATTACTACCCCTGCCACCCCCCAGCACCACCATCTCCCATCACCGGAGAAAAATATGCCAACATTTTAAATAATGCCATAATGATGGCATATTCAATGAAAATGTTGGCATATTGAAGAGTAATTATGCCATCTTTTTGGCATTTTCAGAAAAATATGGCATTTTTTACCAAAAGTGGAAGAAATTTCACCAATCGGAGGTGGTGGTGCTGGGAGGCGGTGGGAGGCGGTGAGAAAGGTATCCATAATTTTTTTCATTTTTTATGGGTTTTTACTATTTTTTATTATTTTTTTAAAAAAATAAAAAAAATAAAAAATTAAATTTTTTATTTTATAATTGTTTTATAAATTTTTTATAATTTTGTTACGTTTTTTTAAATATTTTTTACGTTTTTTATGATTTTATTATGAATTAAAGCATTTCATTATGAATTAATACTCTTAGGGGTATTTAGGGTAGAAAATCAATGTTTAGTCCTATTTGGGGAATTTTAAAAACTATAGTCCTATTTGTGCTTTTTAGGAACTTATTAGTCCTATTTAGGACAATTTCAGTTTAAAAAATTGGAGGAGATAGTTTTGGAGGGTTTTGTAATCCTCCAAAACTCTCTAAATGCTCAATTTTTAAATTCCCTTAATTTGGAGGGTTTTGATGGATAATTAACAAATTGAAAACTATCAATTTGATCCTAACTATCACGAAAATGTCAATTAAGCCCTTGTATTTTTTAAAAAAACAATCAAATCCCCTTAGTTTGTAAAAACGTCCCATTCAGTCCACTAGCAGGTTACCCGTCACGTCAACAAGTCACCTGTTAACGTGACATACATGTGGCAGTCCATGTCAACAGTGACATCCACGTGTGAGTCATGTCAGTGGGTGACCTGCTAATGTGGCATGTAACCTACTAATGGACATAATTGAAATTTTTTCAAATTTCGGGGATTTGATCGATTTTTTTAAGTATGATAATCTAATTGACTTTTTCGTGATAGTACGAAGATCAAATTGACAATTTTTCGTTTAACAAAATGATAATTTAAGCTCAATTAAAAATGTATATCTATTCATTTATTTGATTCTGTTCTTCCAAATTTATTATTCCCAAATAGGAACCAGAGTTTCTACACCCTCCTTAGCCTCCCCTCTAAACCCATGTAACATATAGTGCGTACAGATCATTAATTCAATTTCTTTTCAGTGCTAGTAGAATTGTACTATCGTATGTGGTATTGATTTTTGCCGCAGCTTTGTTTTCGCCGAATCGATCTTCGCAGCCACTCCTGGGAAGCAATTAAAAGGCTCTTAAAACTTCTAAATAAAAAATTCACACACAAAAAATGAATCTTTCTTACACAAATAGTAGAATAGAAGTTAGTTTGACAAAACTCACAAAAGAATGGAACACCATCATCAATTAGTCACATATTCATAGTAAATCTGTAAATGATTAGTTCTTTGTATTTACCTACATACCAATTAGATGTAGTTAACAAAAAATTGACATTAAACAATTCATAAGAACCGAAGAATATCAAGAGTTAACTTTATTAACTTCGTAGTAAATACTTTGTCCATTATAAAACAATATTTTTCATTGTTTATTTAATTGCATAACAACTCATAGTACGAATAGACGAACAAGCTTAAATACTTTACATAATTACATGTCAATCATATGTTCAATTTAGTGTAGTAGTCTCCCCTTATATTATAATAGCCATCATCCGTTAGCATGGTTCTAATTAAAGTATGAAAATTTTATGATGGCTCTTATAATATAAGGCGAAGTGGGTTAACGGAAAAAGAATCATGTTAACGGAATATATTTAAATGTAATATATTTAAATGCATGTTATCGTGAATATACTAATGATTTTTTTTGTGAATATATTTAAATGTTTACTAGTATTCCACCCGTGCGTTGCACGGGATGAAATATTCAAATACGTACTGAAGTACTATTTAATTTTATATTTCTATCACAAATATTAGAGGTTTGATAAGAAAACATATAATAACTTAATGAAGATCTGATTATATTACCGTGGGTTGGGGAGACCCGAGGTAAAAAGTGTTAAAACTACTTCCATGTGAAGATCTTCATGTATAGGAGAGTGAATTGGCATCCAGGGAACTGTGTCGCTTCCTTTTTTTTTTTTGGGGAAACACATCAACTTCATTAGATAATGTCAAACTGGTTACAATCAGCTTTGAGGCTGTGTTTAAGAAAGCTAGGGGCATCTGCTAGCCAGAGAGCTGGCTCAATGTGTGAACAAGCAAACTTTGCACAACAATGAGCAGCCCGATTGGCTTCACGCCTCATAAAAACAAGCTTAAAAGAAATAAAAACTGCACTTAGTTCACTAATTTCATCCAAGATAGGGGAAATGATTGAGCGATCGGTCCGCCGTTGGTTCCAATGCATGAGCAGGTCCGAACAATCAACTTCGAAAATTACTTGGGTGAAGCCCCTATTCACAGCAAAGGTGACAGCATCCCGCAGAGCCAAAGCTTCTATCGTCAAGGGGTTAGAGATCCCAACATAACTTCTACAAGCAGCCC